AGCCTGTTCCTGTGCACGTCGGGTGCCACGCGAAGGGCCTCTCACCAGAGCCGGTCCATCGCAGCCGTGAGGTCATAGCATCCATGAAGCTGCATTGCAACTACTCATAGCGGTTTTGATGAAGCTGTAACTGAATGGGATAGACTGTTCCGAGAGGTGGTTCAGTGACAGCTGGGAGCTCGTCGCGACCCCTTGCGGGGGGACACATCGAACCCCGGAGGTCAGTGCGCGGCTGCGGAACCCCTGCCGCAAAGCTCGGGGGTGAATGCCACCAAGGAGTCGAGTCCCTCTCATAGCCATAGAGCAAAACAACAGAAGCTGAAGTTTCCTTTTGGCAATCGCGAGGTTCTCGCCTGTCTTAAAAATTGCCGTCGGACGCTTGCAAGTCGCGGCGACTACTACACGCTGCCGTCCGAGGAGACCGGACTTTGTTTTCTGTCTCAACAGGTATTTAGGTTGTACAGTTTCCGCACCTAAATTTACGCTGCATTAGAGATGACTCGGCAGTTGCGCCCTTGGGCATCGCTTGCGCCCAAGTTTGCGGCCTGATTGGGCACTCAGCTTCATACAGGGGTACAGTGGACGCCTGGGGTCTTGTGTTGTGGGGGCCCCCTCTCCGGAGGCTTCCCCCCTTTCCACCTGCGTCCGGGCCCTGCGCCGCGCCTATGCCGCCTGGCACCGTGCCTGAAACCCAAGCCCCTCACCGTATTCGGGGTCTTGTCTGTAACATTCCTATCTTAGGTCATATACAGCGGTCCACGTAGTAGGGTCTAACCCGCCCCCACAACAGTGCAGATTGCCTCAGAGCAAGGATATTTATGCTCTGGGCTAAAAGCGAGAAGGCAGGTGCAAAAGAAGTCACAAATGCAGGAGGGAGCAACGTGTCTTGATCGGATGCCTATGGAAGCTTCGTTGGAAGCTTCAACGGTAGATTCCCGAAACAGTGTGTCGTCGATAAGGTGCCCGGAAGAGGGACATGTAGCCTGCAGCTTCGTTTGTAGCTGGCGGCGCCCGTCGGACCCGGCGCTCCGCGATTCGCGCCGTGCACGTCGCATTTCTTAATAGATTATATGAGTATCAGTATTCAGGACTGGGTCCTAACACTTAAGTAGTGGCACGGGCCAGACACGAGCGTGCTGAAAGAATGTCTCTGAGTGTCAGTGCTGGCTCAGATTCATGTACACGGCGGGTCACAGGCTTGGGCAGTCCAGGAGGACGGCAGGGTGAGAAACAGGGCAGATTATGGGTGGATGGTCTTGACATCTGATCATCGTACTTCGCGAACAGCTTCAGGTGTGGGATGGTAAGGGCCTGGGATGCATGTTTGGTCACAAGTTGTGAAGAGAAAGGCCTGAATGTGCAGAAAGTGATGCACGGCTGGGAAATCAGAAAATGAGGTAGATTTGCAGAGATGCTTTAATAGCTCAGCTGCATTGAGCAGTGTAATAGACGACTAGATGAAGCTTACACTGTAGAAATGGAGACCTGGGAGCTCCTAATACAACAAGGAGACACCTGCAAGGATGTGGACCATTTGCCTTAGAGGAGGCGTCGAGTGCCCTGGTGCTGAAGAGCACTGCGCATTGCACACTTCATGCCCTGCCTAGCCTGCTCTGTTCCCGCATGCTGTAAGCTCAAACACTGGCCTGCATCAAGCCTCAAAACATCCCAGACAAAACACATACCTTGGTCTTTCAGCCTACTGGATCTCCAACTCCTTGAACTTGTTGATATCCGAGCTGCATCAGGTTTAGTCAACAAAGAAGGTTCCAGGACACTGCACAGCAGGCAAGGAGACCTCCAGCTCACTTTGTCAAGCTGTCTGACTGGGGTATAAAAACCCTCATCATCGTAAGCAAGCGCAGAGAGTTCCCCTTTTGGACGCGGGTGAAGAATCAACGTCCCGTCATGCGCCTGCAAATGGATGAACTTGCTCAGCAAGGTATGTGTCGGGCATTGCAGCACACAGATGTATGAAATCTCCAAAGAAGCGGCATGTCCTCACCAAGCCCTCAAGCCCAGCCCTCCGGGAGTGCTCACCACGGAAACGTTTTCATCTAGCCTTGCGCCACCCCTCTCAGCCGCGATGACAGCGTCTTTCTGAGGGAACTCTCGCGGAAATCGCATCATACACAATTCCGAGCTGCAGTCGTGCACGTTTGAGATACGTCAGGCACACAGGAGGTCGGGAACATGCAGAGGTCTTCAAGGCAAGCGTACAGAAAAGATAACGATTTCCCAAGCGAATGAGTGACCCGCTGAGGTGATAGACCAGCTCACATGCGGCAAAATTCTTGCCCTGGTAGCGATATAGGGGTCCCATCTTCCGCGTAGGACACCATTTCCGTATGAGATGTACACCTACAAGCACTTTCCGCGTTCGTCCCTACAATCGAAAAGTGTGATACTGAGAGGATCTGGCTTTGAAAGAGAGTGTCCACCCGATACTTGATGTTATTTCCCAGAGAACACTGCAGCTACGGAAGATGCCTCCTCTTTCCGGATGACCGTGAAATCCTGTAGTGCCTCTGTCCTGCTTTCTGTTCCTCTGCGACCACCTACGCGATTGCGCAGGCGTATTAACCCCCCATGCCATGCCTCCTCAGTCATTGTCTGTCCCCATCCTTGTCTCTTCTGTAACCAACAGGGGCATCCCGACATGAGTGATCACTCCCGAGCCGTGCCTGAGTACCCCTCGCTTCCTCGCCATTCCGCCTGTTCCGGCCTCTCCCATTGCACCTCTCGTAGCTGTGGGCAGGGAAGTAAATGTACACGCAAGGTCGCATATGCGCCGGCTGGTCCGGTGCAGGCTCGTACTTGAGTTAAAATTGTATACACGAGGAAGTCTCCATTTAAGCAACGATGTAGCTCACAAATGGGCCAAGCATTCTCGGGTCATGGTCCAATCAGGTACAAGAATACACCGGCACCTCGTTCTCCTTCCGAAAATGATCCGTCGAATAAGTTGAACGATGCTTCTTGCACAACCACGAGCTGCAGTCGTGTACGTTTGAGATACGTCAGGCACACGGGCGGTCGGGAACATGCAGAGGTCTTCAAGGCACGCGTACAGAAAGGCTAGCGATTTCCCAAGCGAATGAGTGACCCGCTGAGGAGATATACCAGCTCACATGCGGCAAAATTCTTGCCCTGGTAGAGATATAGGGGTCCCATCTTCCGCGTAGGACACCATTTCCGTATGAGATGTACACCTACAAGCACTTTCCGCGTTCGTCCCTACAATCGAAAATTGTGATACTGAGAGGATCTGGCTTTGAAAGAGAGTGTCCACCCGATACTTGATGTTATTTCCCAGAGAACACTGCAGCTACGGAAGATGCCTCCTCTTTCCGGATGACCGTGAAATCCTGTAGTGCCTCTGTCCTGCTTTCTGTTCCTCTGCGACCACCTACGCGATTGCGCAGGCGTATTAACCCCCCATGCCATGCCTCCTCAGTCATTGTATGTCCCCATCCTTGTCTCTTCTGTAACCAACAGGGGCATCCCGACATGAGTGATCACTCCCGAGCCGTGCCTGAGTACCCCTCGCTTCCTCGCCATTCCGCCTGTTCCGGCCTCTCCCATTGCACCTCTCGTAGCTGTGGGCAGGGAAGTAAATGTACACGCAAGGTCGCATATGCGCCGGCTGGTCCGGTGCAGGCTCGTACTTGAGTTATAATTGTATACACGAGGAAGTCTTTATTCAAGCAACGATGTAGCTCACAAATGGGCCAAGCATTCTCGGGTAATGGTCCAATCGGGTACAACAATACACCGGCACGTCGTTCTCCTTCCGAAGATGATCCGTCGAATAAGTTGAACGATGCTGTGCTGCTTTACAGGCCTCGTATTGATGAGAATCTCGCCATTCGTTGTCGCCCGAGTATAAGGCACCCTCCGGACATCCCCCTTCCGGGAAATTTCGTGCTGCACCGGAAGACCGGACAACATGTTGGAGACGGTACTGCATCGCCGAAGACATAAGCAATGGGTCACACTTGTGGAAGAGCTACCATCTTGTCTTCACCCTGAACAAGAAGGCCCGAGAATGTCTGTGGCATGAGGAATATATTCCTAATCTTATGTCACAAGCCATGCAGGCTGGGAGGGGTTGCTCAGGCTGGCTGTTCCCACAACGTGGACTGGCGTGGATGGCCAAAACGATCGTTAATACGAGGCATCAACCCAAGTGCAGTGTGGGGTTGAGTTTCATAGGCGGCACTGGGTGGCGCGGGCACGGCGCAGTGCATGAGCGCAGATTGAGAAGGAGTAATGGCCACTTCGAGTACCACCACAGTAGCTCTACACCTTGTGGACAGGAACAGCACACCTGTACGATTGCTAATTATCCCAGGCAACCCGGCCCTGCCATGAGAGGGCGATCCAGTGATTGAGGGAGAGCACAAGAAACGTCTGGCATGGCTCACTTGTACGAAAAGGGGGGGGGGGTTGCGAGAGGAGCTTGGCCCCTCTGCAAGCCCCCGTCGAAAGCCGATCCACCTATGCTGCCTGCTTGGTCGGCTCAAACCAAAACCTATGAGCGGCACGGCAAGGGCAGAGCACGCCGCACCCGCTCATATTCAGGGAGTGGGAGTGGCAAGAGGCACCGATTTGTTTCAGCAGGGAGATAAAGGTCAGGGTGACCTTGTACCTGCGGTGGGGTCTATATTTGTCAACAGCTAGACCAGCACCCAGGCAGACAACATGTGCAGGGGGTATTATTGCCCTGGGGAGGGCGAAGTCTGCAATAAACTCACCCCCACTTGCCTCCCAAGGCCCAACTGGGGGGGGACGGGGCACAACTGATATGCGCGGACTGCTTTCTTACTCCCGTGCACTCGTTCATGTACAGCTTTTTAGATAGTTGAGCATAACAAATTGCATCTTGTAGCGCGCGCTCGCATCCCCGGTTGGCCACAGCAAGGACTGGCGCGAGGGGCAAAGATTGATCAAGCCAAACGGGGGACCCTCGGAGCCCGATCAAGCGGTATATTACATACTGCTCCTTGTATCAACATGGATTGGCTCTGATAGAGCCACTACATGCAGCAAAAGTTGCCCCGGGATGGCCGCATTGGGACTCCTCATGCCATGCCGCGTGCAGCGTGAAAAGACTCTCGTCATGTAGTTTCATTTCTCATGTCAAGGTCTCCTACTTTACTAGTCCTCATGGGATTCTGAGTAAATCCAAGAATGCTTGGAGCGAGATACTATCGTTTCTGACCCCCTAAGACTTCCCGCCTGGGGTAGATCACTTGTCTCAGCGGACCAGTGCGGAGGATGAGCGGCGAAGTTTCGCTCGCAAGAGACGTACATTTGATGAATGTGATATGATTAGAGTGCATCATCGTTGTTTCGGCTTGACATAAGGGCTGGGCCATGGGTGTGAAGAAGCTCTGGGATTTACTGGAGCCGTGTGGGCGCCGCATCAGCATCGAGGCCCTGACCGGCAAACGACTGGCAGTAGGTGAAGTGAAATAGAACACTGGCACTTATACTTGTGGTGCGATCATGGCGGGATCTTGCTCGAGACAGGCGCAGGCGGTGGTCCTCAGCACTTGGCAACATGTGTCGCATGGCTGCCTGCCTGCACCTCCCATGCCCCAACTCCACTCCGACCCCCCTTCCCCCACTGGACAGATGCATCTGGGTGGCTATTTCAGTTCATCAAGGCCATGCGAGACGAGAGGGGGGACCTCATCAGGAATGCACACCTGGTCGGTTTCTTCCGCAGAATCTGCAGGCTCCTATTCCACCGCATCAAGCCCGTCTTTGTGTTTGATGGTGCCACCCCCGCCATCAAGAGGATGACTGTCATTGCCAGGCGCAGGTGTTGGGGCTGTGCTGGGGGTCTGCAGCCTCGATGGGTTTGCCTGCCCGGCCAGGACCAGGCCAGGAGGGTCCAGGAGAAGCACTGGCCATCACACATCGCTCTCATGCTCATCATGCATGGCACATCCCCATCCAAATGCACGCCCCCCCCGCCCTCCACCGCCAGGCAGCGGGAGCAGCAGGATGCACGGCTGCGACGCACCGCAGAGAAGCTCCTGCTGAACCAGCTGAAGCAGCATGCCCTCGCCCAGGTCGCCTCGCAGGGAGGGTCTGATGTCCTGGCGCAGATGGCTGGTACACAGAAGTCCAGGGGCACGAGGCCCGACCCCTTCCAGGAGGTGGTCGTGCAGGACACTGATGCCGCTGCAGGAGGGCGCGCCGCTGGCGCCCAGCCCCACGCCGTGCCGGCCCAGTGTGTGCCCGAGGGACCTGCTCTGGGTGCATCGGCACCCCAGCCTGGCGAAGTTGAGCAGGAGCTGGAAGCCCATCTGGACCTGGACCTGGATCAGCTCGGTGGCGTGGAGGTGAGAGGACTGGCGGGCTGAGTATGGCGATCGCGTGGCTGCCTCCAGCGGAGATTCCCTGTCAGGAGTACTGGGCCGCCCGCCCCCCCCCACCGGTACACTGGGATGTCATCTGCACCGCCACATCTACAGCACCTTTCCCCTCAATCTTGTAGTCTGGAGAGATCGACGCCGAGGTGCTGAGCCAGCTGCCGCCCAGTGTGCAGCTGGAAGTCATGCTGAAGCTGCGCGAGGCGCAGGTCGTCGCGAATCGGGAGAAATTTGCCGCTGCGCAAGGAGCCCCCCTGGCCTTTTCCCAGGTCCAGATGGCGCAATACCTGAAGGCCACCGCATTCCGGTGTGTGGAGGACTGGCAGGGGGCCGAGGGCCTTGGAGCCTGCCCTGCTGTGCACGAGGAGGGAGCCTGCTGGGCAGGCTCCACCACCCCATCCCTGCAAGGAAGCGTGATCCCGGCTCGCATGTGGCTCGTGTGCTCCAGAAGCGAGTTCCTGGGACCGCGTGCTGTCAACCATGCAGAACCACCCCTCTCACTCTCTCCTCATCCAGGCGCCAGGTCAACGAGATCAAGGAGGCGGTGAACGCGGCGGCGGGGTTGCTGGGCGCGTCCCGCCGGATAGCGGGCGAGCCCGGGCGGGAGTACGTCCTGCTGCGGGATGAGGAGGCGCTAGACGGCCCCGGCGTCCCGGGGGCCCAGGGGGCGTCCAGCCCGCCAGAGCCCTCGGCCGCGCCGGCCTCCTCCGCCGCGCCGCCGTCATCCGGCGGGCCCCTGCCCGCCCAGGACCCATTGGTGCTGACTTTCGGGGCGTCGGACTTGGACCCCGCCACAGACGCGAGCGAGGAGGAGGTCGGCTGGGAGGATGTGGAGGAGGAGCCTTCGCTGCCAGGCATGCTGGCCTCTCCCGGAGGCTCGACGGAGCCCGTCCCCGATGTGGGACTGCGGGAGCAGCGCGATCTGCACTGGCGGGAAAGGGCCGCGAGACGGCAGCGCTTCTGGAGCCTGGCGCAGGGCTTCCGGCAGGGGCGCGCACTGAGCGACTGGGGCAAGGCCGGCGACGGCGCCCAGGGTGGGTGCAGGGTCGTCTTTGGGGATCGGGCGCAGATGGGGTGTGTGCATGGACTGCCGTTCCACCCGTGTCAGCGATGGCAAAACCTGCAGCCACGGTTTTCATCCTCCATCACGGCATCGCAGGCAGCCCTGCGCTGAGTCCCGGGAGGGCCGAGGACGGCACTCGCGATGAGGAGGAGCAGGCACTCCAGGCGGCCATCGAGGCAAGCCTGCAGGAGAGCCGGGAGGCGTGGGAAGTCGCCGGCAACAGCGGCCCCAGTGGCAGCGGGCCGGCGAGGGGCGGGAGGGAGAGCGGCTGGGTCGGGACGCTTCCTCCCGAGACAGCCCTTCCTCCTCTGGCCCCTGACTGCCAGGCATCATTCGCTGGAGCATCCGAGACAAACCAGGCGTCGCATGCGCCCGCTTCGGGGTCTGAGGAAGACTGGGAGGATGTCGCCACGGAGCCTGCTCCGCCCGGCCTGGCCCCTTCCCGGGTCGCAGCAGGCGTGAACACTGCGTCGGAAACTGAGCTGAACAGGCTGCTCTCCGGCGCCAGGGCCTCCGCGCCAGACAAGCCCGGGCAAGGGCTGGCAGTGGGCTTGAGTGTGGAGACTGTGGCGCCGCCGCATGTTGGAGTGAGTGCCAGCGCAGAGAAGCACTCGCCTGCAGAGGAGCTTGTATCGGCGATTGCCTCCACAGTCAGCGCCCTCGCTGCAGGTGCCCAGGTCGAGGCGATCTTGACGGAGGCTGGGCCGACGGGCGGCGTGGAGATCCAGGCGCTGGACTCCCCATCTGGTCCGCAAGTTTCGCCCGAGAAGAAGGCCATGGAGACCAACACAGCGGGGATCGTCGAGGGAGGGAAAGCTTTGAACGCCGTGGCGGCTGACCCACTACAGCCTGATGCCGGTGAGCTTCCTGCCGACGCCCCTCAGGCATCAGCAATGAATCATGTGCTGGCGGCGGCACCCCTTCTCCAGGAGGCAGTCCTAGCAGCTGCCCAGGCACCACTGGTCGAGGACTCTGCGCCCAGCCCTGCAGCGGCAGCTGAGGCTGCAGATGTCACAGAGTTCTTGGGAGACATGGAGCCGGATGCGGAGGAAGAAGAACCCCTGACGTTCGTCGACGACTTTGGGCCGGGAATTGGGCCGGGCGAGGCGGAGGCCGGCCTGGAGGCGCTGCGTCACGAGGCGTTGGGGCTGAGGCAGGCGCAGCGTGCACAGCGTGGTCAGGCCGACGCCCCCACAGACGAGATGTACACCGAGATCCAGGACATGCTGCAGGTGGGCTGGTGTGGTTGTGGGCCTGAGATTCTGTGTTTCTGGCCTGGTCCAGCTGGCTGAAGCGTGCAGGCTGAGTTCCCTCGCCCCTCCTTTGAATGATGAGTCCTGGTCTTCCTCCGCCACACCGATGGCTGCTCTCACACAGATGTTTGGCGTGCCCTACATCGTGGCACCTGGGGAGGCAGAGGCGCAGTGCGCCTGGCTGGATGCGGCGGGGCTGGTGGACGGCGTCATCACCGACGACGACGATGCCTTCCTGTTTGGGGCTCAGACGGTGTACAGGTGCGGCGCGCAGGGGTGGGCATGCCAGGGAGTGCGACCTGGGGAATGTCATGATTGTTGAAGGAGGTGGGAGAGCGGCTGTGTCCATGGCAATGCCGGGCGGGTTTCGTGGGATCCGAGGGTGGGACCGTGAAGATGGATGGTGGCAATCATCGCTGAAGCAGATGGGGCCCGATGTGCAAGCACAGCTAAAAGGGCCACCGCAGCAACACCTTGGCCTCAGAGCACCCCCTTTCCACTTCCTCCAGGCACATCTTCTCCACCAAGCAGACGGTAGAGGAGTACCGCACCCGCGACGTGGAGTCTGAGCTGGGACTCAGCCGGCCCGAGTTCATCTCGCTGGCCCTCCTGCTCGGCTCCGACTACACGCCGGGCGTCCGAGGTGTGCTCAGGGGGTTGTGCCTGCTTGTATACAAAGCGGTGGATGGAAGGCAATCGGTTCTAGGCAGCTCGAGCCCTGCCGACTCCGGACATCTGGAGTGGGAAGGGGTGGCATGACTGTGCTGCAAATCTGTCGATCCTTTGCCCTCGTGGCCCCTGGCATGCTGCACAGTAAGCGGAGGCCCCCCCGCGCGATTTCAGGCATCGGCATTGTCAATGCAACGGAGGTGGTGCATGCTTTCCAGGGCATGGAGGGCCTGCAGGACTTCCGTGCCTGGGTGCAGGCCCCTGACGCCGCGGTGTCTGAACTCATCGCCAAGGCCACAGGTGAGCTGGCTGTGTCTCTGGGCTTGCTGGGGGCCTGACCTCTCGAGGATTTCTTCCATTACCGGCTTCGGAATGTTCCTGCCACACAAGGGCCAGATGCCGGCGAAGTTGAGTGCCTTGGTGACAAAACAGCCTGCTGCTCCCACGCTCTGCAGAGGGAGGAGGGCAACCCTCGGCCCCAGGCTCCAACAGCAAGAGAAAACCCCTGGGGGTCACAGACGAGGCGACGCAGTCGATGCGCCGCGCCTTCCAGCTCCGGCATCGCGGGGTACGGCGCAACTGGGACCTCCCCAGCGACTTCCCATCACCGGCAGTGCTGGAGGCGTACCTGTCTCCGCGTCTGGACACATCCAGAGACAGGTCTCTGGGGGACTGGCTTGAGGCCTGGTTCCCTAGGGTTTCATGACCCCCCTTGCCCAATGAGTCAGAGGCTGATCTCCATTTCACCATGCCCCACGAGTCAGAGGCTGATCTCCGTTTCACCAAAACCCACGCAAAACCCTTCGTCCCTGCCCCTCCCAGGTTCCTGTTTGGAAGGCCGGACCTGGCGCTGCTGAGGAGTCTCTGCACCGCCAGGTTGGAGTGGACCCCGGTGCAAGCCGACGAGCTCCTGCTCCCGGTCCTGAAGGCCTGGGACGAGCGAGAGGTGGGTGGGTGGACTCGGATGGTATTGAGGGGAGGGCGCTGGCTGCAATTGTGCTGGGCCTGGGCGGGGGGCTGGCTCATGATGAGCATGCCGGCTCATCCCAGCCCGCCGCCTCTCTCATGCCCCTGCAGCATGTCCTCACGTTCCACACTTGCAGCACCAACAAACCCTGGAGCCGTTCCTTGCCTTCCGGAAGCGGTTTGCGAAGATCCAGTCCAAGCGACTGCAGCATGCGGTGCGCGGGATTGCTGGGAAGACGACGGCAGAGTTGGAGCTGGCAGGGAGTCCCTCCGCAGAGGCCGGGACAGCGAGGAAGCCGAGGGCAGCCAGGTCCCGGGCAAAGACAGCCAAACGGGCCCAGTCTGCCGTGCCAGCTGCCCAGGCAGGGCAAGTAGGGGCAAGCAGGGGCAACGAGGATGTCAGGGCGCCAGCGGAGCCGGTGCCTAAACGCATTACGAGGGCCTCCTCCAAGAGAAGTTCGTAGTCCCAGCGGGACAACTGCGTGTTGTGACACGGTGTCCAAACATGGACAATGGATTCCTAAAGGAATTGGCTGACCAGGCAGCAAGTTTTGTTATCAGTGTGCATATTGCGTACCTATGTGTAGATTAACTCATGTTGGCAGGGGAGGATCCTTCCACCAACAGCACACAGCTCCAGGGCCAGCCCCACGCCATGCGCAGCAGGGTCCAGATCACTTCTCGTGGTGGACGCATCGCAGGTGCAGGTGCAGCCCCCGACACCCTGTGCAAGAAAGTGCAAAGGTAATTGCATGTAACACATTGATCAAGGCCGAGCACAGACCCCGAGCCCCTTCCGACCAGCTGGGTTGATGGTGGTCCAGCGCCTCGGGACTGGCCCCTCACCACCCCTGACGCACACCCTAGGCGATAGATCGTGACTTTACCGACGTCACGGAGAATGAATGGGCATCGCCTCCCCTCGCCAACCCAGGGGGATGCTCTTTCCAGCGTTCGCCTGCTGGTGAACCAGGTCGTCACGAGCACCGACACCAAGGTACCTGGGGGGAGAGGAGAGCACCGTCTGATCACGGCCTACATCCCTCGTGTGCCTCGTGGTACCACACTTGGCCGATGATTGCCCTGTACAGGGTTTTTTGCCTCACAGCAATCCCGCGCACCTCGCCACCCACAACAGAGCGCCGGGGCTGCGTCCTCCCAGCTGATCCAGCTCCTGAGCAGCCCCGCATCGCAGCATGGCAGCCTGGATGCCGTGCTGCTGGACCTGCAGCCCCTCCTTGGGCCGGGAAACGGGAACCCATCCTCCACGCTCCTGGATGCCCACTCGGGGCTGGGCGCCGCCTGCGCCGCCTGCCTCGTGCAGCGCATCCGCGACTCCCCCGCCCCGGACCAGGCCCTGGGAAGCCTTCTGCGGGCCCTCCCGCGGCCCGCCGCCGCCTCCCTCCTGCGCGGCCTGGGCCTCGGGTCCAGGGCCGTCAACACCAGCTGGGGCGAGGCCGAATGGAGGGCGGCGGCGGCGCTCGCCGCGCGCGGCGCGGCCGCCCTGGACAGAGAGGAGGCCGGGTGTGTGGCGCAGGCAGCCGCGGGCGCCCTCGACGCCGCGCTGTCCCCCATCCTGCTCCCCGCCTCCCGGCCGCGCGGGGTCGCCAGCCCGATCCCACCCACGCCGCAGGCGACGGCCGCCATGGCCGCCGTGGGCGCGGCCGCCGCCGCCGCCTCGGGCTCGCTGGAGGCGGAGGAGCGGGTGCTGGCCCTGCACGGCGCCGCAATCCTCGGCTGCCTGGCCGCCGCGGCCCCGCTCGTGTTTGGCGGCAGGGCCTCCACCGCGCTGCTGCTCACCGCCGCGGGCGTGGCCGCCTCGCTGCGCGTGACCCTGGCCAGGAGGGGCAGTGGGGAGGGGGACCCGGCGACGGAACACCCAGCCAGCGATGGTGCAGGGCACCCTTCCATCGTCACTGAAGGCCCCAGGCCCCTCATTGGGGTGCACGATGCGCTTGCTTTCCTCGCGCCGCTGTTGACCGAGGCGCAGCGCGTGGCCGCCGCCGAGCTGCGCGCCGTGGTCGGCCCACGTCTGGGAAAGCGCGCCGCGCTGGAGGCGCTGCTGGACGTCGACCTGGGCGTGCCCCTGACGCGCGGCGGCGGCCTGGACGGCGCGGGCGGGGGGCTTCAGGCTTCGCGCCCCGCCCATGGCCTCCTGCTGGCACTGGCGGAGGTGGGGGCCGCCAGCCTAGCCGCGGGGTGGGGCGCGGGGTGCGCCGCCGCGCTGGCGACGCTGCTGCGCCCCGGCGCTTCGGGGGGGCGGGCGCTGCGCTGGTCCAGGCGCGCGCCGCCGCGCTGGATCTCGTGCATGCACAGCGAGACGGAGGAGGCGGCGTGGACCTGGCAGAGGTGGTCATCGGCCTCTTTGCCAGCGGCCTGCACGCCGGCCCAGCGCCTGCGCCCGACGAACCCCCTGCAAACGCCCAGGCGGCCAGCACCGATGAGAAGCCTCCCACGGCCGGCACCCAGGATCAAAGCCGCGGCAAAGCGCCGCTCGCGCTGCTGCTGGCCAGGCTGGGGCGCCTGGCCGAGGAAGCCGGGCGGCCGCGGGCGGCCCTCGCGGCGCGTAGGGCGCTGTTCGCCGGCTACCGCGCCGAGCCGCCTGTCGTGTCGCCCCAGGCCCTGCTGCGGCTGGCCGACGGCGGGGGCGCGGGCGACACGTCCCGGGCGGGTCAACCGCCCCTGGAGGCGGCCCTGCTGGCCCTGTTCCTGGACTGCCACCGGGCGGGCTTGGCCCCCGTCCGGCTGGCAGGCGTGCTGCCCGCCCTGGCCGCCGCGGCGGCGGCCTGCGGCGCAGAGGAGCGCGACGCGGCGTGGCGCCGCCGCGACCACGCACGGCTCTGGCTGGCGATCGGCGCGGCGCGCCTGGCGCGCGTCGGGCGCGTGCTGCCGCGCGGCGACGACCCCGCCACCTCGCCAGCCCTTGGTCGGCTGGCGGCCGCCGCCCCGGACCTGTCGGAGCTGGGCTGGCGCAGCGAGGGCCCCGGGCCGGGACCCCCGGCGCCCGCGACCCCGGGCGACGGG